TATACTTCAATAAAAAAATTTAAAAATAAATAAAAGGCATGTGACATTCATAACAAACAAACAAACAGAAGAATAAAATAATGCCATTTGCAGCAACATGGATGGACCTGGAGATTATCATACTAAGTGAAGTAGGTCAAAGAAAGGCAAGTATTATGTGATATCGCTTATATGCGGAAGCTAAAAAAATACAATGAACTTATTTACAAAACAGAAACAGACTCACAGACACAGAAAACAAACTTATGGTTACCAAATGGGAAAGGTGGGGGGCAGGGATAAATTGGGAGTTTGAGATTGACATAAACACACTACTATATTTAAAACAGGTAACCAACAGGGACCTACTGTATAGCACAGGGAACTCTGCTCAATATTCTGTAATAACCTAAATGGGAAAAGAATTTGAAAAAGGATAGATATATATATATGTAAAACTGAATCACTTTGCTGTACACCTGATACTAACACAACATTGTAAATCAGCTATAGTCCAATATAAAATAAAAATTTTAAAAAAAGAAAAAAATTAAATTCAGTGGTATTGGAAAGTCAAAAGAATAAAAATTAAAAAATGAAAAAGTTCAGTTCTAAGGAGAGTCTCAAAGATCCCAATCACCATAAAATCTTATAAATTAGGTCTCCATCCTTCATGACTCCTCTGGCCTTCCGTGTGCAGATGGCTTCACTACCAAGCCATCTGTTAATTCGAATGATCAGTACCAAGCTATTGGAGTAGTTGAAAGGAGAGGGAGATTAAGCAACCTTTAAAAAGATATTTCTCAAGATCATCCTCTCTCTCATCTTCGTAAATTATTGACAGGAAGTTTCTCCACAAATAAAGAGGAGAAAAAATCTGTTACAATATCTTATTTCGGCCCCTGGACACAAGTATTCCTGTCTACTTATTTGAAAATGTTTTGCTGATTCTAATTGGCCTTCAAGGATCGGGATCAAAGGTTTTCCCTACCTTCGAATTGTGAAATTCCCCTGCAAAGGTTATTCTCAATTTCTTTGTTGGGTTTCATCGAGTTCCCCCAAGTTACAACCCCTCAGGTCACCCAAAACAGATCACCCTATCATTGTCCTGCTGTGGAAACCAGGTCCTCCCCCCACAAAAATATACATGTTTGCATGCATTCACAAGTATACTCACGCGCACGCACGTGCGCGCGCGCGCACACACACACACACACACACACACACACCGTGAGGTCAGCTCCCTCACTGAGCAGCCAGCTCTGATCTCTCCAACCAGGACCTGCCAGGTCAAAGGACACAAGAAATTTGTTTGTAAATGGTGGGCGACCAAGGGCCATCTTTAGGTTCCTTTGAAGTAACAGCACTCTGTCTTCAAACACACAACACTCTGAGTGCCTGTCACTCTGTTGTGAAACACTGGCTTTGGGAGATGGTGTAAATAAACCTCCCAAGCTCCTTTGATTTCCAGGTGGTATTTATTTTAATGCACTCTACCACCTGCCCCCAACCCAGTGATGTCCATAACAGCCCGTCCACTCCGGGCTTGCTGGTTTACCCAACCTGCCATCCTTGTTCCCTCTCTGACTTCAATAAGGAATGGGGGTGGCGGGGTGATTAATATTCCCGGGTCAATGCTTAGACCACACCCCACAGGCTCACATCTGTCCTGAGTGGACACTGTGGCAGGAGGGAGCCCTTTGAAAATGGGCACCAGTGACCCAGACCTCTGACTCAACTGGCTGTTCCAATAACAAACATGAAAGTGCAGACATTTGTCACCACCCTGGGCTGTTGCTGCAACATTATTACCTACATGGAGGGAGGGGCACTAGGTTCCCAGGGGGATTTGCATTACATTTGGCCTCTCAATCTTAGCTCCACATTTAGATTTCATTTCTGGTTTTTTTTCTGTTTGGGGCTGGTTTTATCCCCCATTCACTGGAGCCCACAGTTTGCTCTTAGGATTTTGGTAGGAAAGGCCAATGTTGAGATCAGAAGTGTACAGAAGTGGGATTCTCCCAACACGGAGGGAGCAAGGCCATTCCCTGAGGCCAAGAGAAGCTTGTAAAGGAAAGACGGTGTGGAGAGGACCATGAAAGATCAGAGGCTTTCCAGCTGGTCTCTCTGCTGGCACTGGGGTCCCCAGGGGTACCATGAGCACACGGCGTACACACGTAAATTAGGAAGAGGCAACCACTTCCACTGGAGGATGTGTGGAAAGGTGTCCCCCACCCCCTTGGGAGAAGGAGGAAGGAGCTCCTTGCTTTGGGTTGACAGCCCCACAGTCAGAGCAAAAGGCTGCACCAACCACTGGTGGCTGGATTTCAGCCCCTATGGACACCATCCACACAGCCACACTCAGAGGCCCTGCCCACCCCCTATCCAGCCGGCCACAGGCCTTCTTCCCAAAGAGAAGCGAATAGGGCCCCTTACCCAACACACCCGTGTGTTGTCTGTAGTCACTTGGACAAGACTCCCCACAAGTGTGAACACATTCTGCTGGGTGGTGAGCTGGGTGATCCCATTTTAATGAATACATACTGATTTAAGCTTATAATAGAACTTTCCTGCCAAAACTGTTTGCACACCCTAAGAGCACAGATGATGGGCATTATTGTAAATTGAGTGTTCATGGGTGCTGCTGCCTTTTCCACTTAGAGACACATTTTAAGGTCCCTTCTGTCGGTTCCCAGATAGGGGGAAAGTTGCTGAAGCGGTTAGTGGTTGAATCATGCCTCCCCCTCCAAGTCCTAAGCCACAGAACCTGTGACTGTGACCTTACTTGGAAAAAGGTATTTGCACATGAAATGAAGAATCTCAAAATAAGATCATCCTGGATTTAGGGCGAGCCCTAAATTCAATGGCAAGTGTCCCTATAAGAGAAACACAGAGGGAGATTTGACCCACAGGAACACAGGGGAGAAGCCCTGTGAAGATGAAGACAGAGATTGGAGTGATGCGGCCACAAGCCAAGGATGCCTGGAGTCCCCAGAAGCTGAGAGGCAGGGAAGGATCCTCCCCTAGAGGCTTCGGAGAGACAGCGAGACTCCTGGCCTCCAGAACTGGGAGAGAATACACCTTGGACCAAGTTTGTGGCAATTTCCTTGGCCGCCATAGGCAATTTTCTTCCCCAGTCCAGAAAGCCTCTGTTCTATTCTCCCTACACCTGAATTTCCAGAAGAAGCCGTCTCTCTCCCGAGAAAACTCCCCCTTTGGGCTCTTCCTCCAACCCTGACCTTGTCCTCTGCTAAACAACAGGCACACTGGTTACCACACGCTCCACACTCACTTGGCACTCAGCACACGCCAGATCTTAACGCACGTGTGCTTATTATGCTCAGGAGATAATTACAAGCAACATTTATCACCTGCCTTGGAGTCTGCAAATTCCCTGCCGCACACGAGCTCGCTCTATCCTCACACTGAGCCATTGGGTGGGCAAGACCTCCATCAACGGCCTCGCTGCACAGACAGGAGATTCCCAGGAGGGAGCTCACTGACCTGCCAGTGTCATTCCCCATGTGATTTGAGCAAAGGATGGACAGCAAGCCTGTCTGTCTGTCTTCACCCTGAACCACATTTACCCAGAGCAGGGATTGTCGTCTTTTCCCTTTCAGTTTCTAGCACAGAGCTTAGCAATGGAAACAGAAGCTGATGTGAGTTTCCAGGAGCAGCTTGATTCAGCTCTATTTATGGTGCTGGGAAGAGAGCTGGTGGGAAAGCACTGCCATTAGGGACAAGTGATAGAGTTCTGGTGGGTTCTGGTGGGTTCTGCTGTGGAGGTGGTATCGCCCATGAACACCCCAATGGGCAGTTCCATTGGCTGTATCTATCTGACCAGGAGGAAAGCAGTGGAGTTCAAGGTGATGAGCCACAGAAAATGAAGAAAGGGCAAAGCCGGGTGCCCTGCCTGCACTTTTGTCTACACCCACTCAGCCTCCCCCCATGAGGTCTTAACCCTTGACGTTCCATAAAAAGACCGTGCTTTTGCCTTCCACAACTGGCCATCCAGTTGAGCAAATACCTACCTTGATTTAAACTCTCACTGAGAAAAAGACTAATCCTCGTCCTTGCCTGCCTACCAGAGAGGGCGTCGGGGTTGGAGGTGGGGGGTCGAGGGGCAGCATGGAAGCACCATCTGCCCGCAGGGGGCGCTGGAGCCACACAGAGGGGGAGGGGGAGGGGCCCCAGCCAACTGTCTCCAGGGGCCAAAACCGCAGCCAGCAGGCAGAGCCCAGGGTCAGCCCTTGAGCCAAACAAACAGCAATCAGCCACAAAAGGGTGGTAATTCAGTCACCACTGGCCAGATGGGACCGGCCACCTTCTCAAATATGGTCTCCATCTTCCCCAGTCAACACATTGCCAGCAAGGCTAAGGCTGGGCTCATGACTGCCAGGCAGATGGGAGGAAGGGAGGGAAATTGTGGGCCAGAGAAGTTATGCGATTTGCCCTCGTTGCCCAGTGACTGCACCTTAAAATAGCCCTTTTCCAGGAAGCAGCCTCCATTAGTTCATCCTTTGTTTGTTTCCGAGAATGGTGGAGAGGGCCCCGCTTACCACCTCCGTGGAAGCATGTTCCCTGCAGCTCTCACATCATAACTCCTCCCTATTCTTCTATCTCACATTCATTCAAAAGCCCATCCACTGACCCATTTTAGCCTCACAATGGCCCTGTGGAAAGAACCCAGTGAACTTCCTCTTTAATGATGGGGAAAAGTAGAGGCACCCAGAGTTCCAATTCAGGTTTTCCAGGTCCTGGAGGGAATCTGTACTTGGACAGGGCTGAGCATCCGTGGCCAGTACTTGAGGACATCTGTTGTCTTCTCAATACTGGATTCTCAATATCCTCACCCAGGACCCTCTCCCCTAGTTTAGGGTCTCGACTGTCCCGCATCACCCCACATGCATCCATCTCCCTGCTGGACTTCAGGCTCCGGACAGCAAGGATGGCTGCTCTGCTCATTTCATATCCCAGCAGCCTGGTGCCCGGTTTGGATGCACCTCCAAGGAGAGCCTTACCTGCCGTTTCGGAAGAAGCCTGCCCGCAGGTCCTGCGTGGGGCCGGCCCTTCGGATGGGGGTGAACGGTCGTCTTTTCTCAGCACCCAGTGTGGCTTCCTCAGTCTGCTGGCTCTCAGCTGGAAACGACTTTGCAAGAAATTCCCTTTGTACCTGGGGGACGAGAAGCACGTGTGCAGTGATCAGCCTTGAGAGTGTGTCCGGGAGCTCACAGGCACAAAAATCCAAGACAGGATATGCCCAGAGGATAAAAGCCAGGTCCGTGTGGGAAGCCTGGGAGAACACAGGGACGTGAGGTCCAGGCAGCTCATCAGCTGTCAGGAACCCCTTTTCCCTCCAATCGTCATTCTCCCGCCAGGACGCGGGGATGAAAACAGGACGCAACTCAGGCGGCCGTTGTAGAGATGAAATGAGATAGTGCCTAGAAAATGCTTCCCACACCACTTAGCACACAACAAGCGCTTAATAAAGGTCAGTTGCTGTAATTAAATACTGAATTATATGGTCTTGACTACTTACTAAACAGGCTGTCCAGTAGAACTTTCCACAGTGATGGGCGTCTTCTATAACCTGCATGGACCAATACGGTGGCCACTAACCACAGGCAGCTCTAGAGTGAGTGAAATGTAGTTCATGTGTCCGAGGAACTGAGCTTTACATTCAATTTCATTTTAATGAGTTTAAAGAGCCACTGGTGGCTAGTGCCTACCGTTATTGGACAGGTCAGGCCCAAAGCATCTCCTCTGAAAAAACGGGCATCACACATGCTACCCCTAGAGAAGCTCTTCCAGATCATCTGGTCTATGTAAAATAGAAAGCTAGTGGGAAGCAGCCGCATAGCACAGGGAGATCAGCTTGGTGCTTTGTGACTACCTACAGGGGTGGGATAGGGAGGGTACGAGGGAGGGAGACGCAAGAGGGAGGGGAGATGGGGACATATGTATACGTATAGCTGATTCACTTTGTTATACAGCAGAAACTAACACACCATCGTAAAGCAATTATACTCCAATAAAGATGTTAAATAAATAAAAGGTGAAATAAACATTCAAAAAAAAATAATAATCTCTAAAACAGAGCCTTCACATCCCAGGGGGAGGGCACGACAAGGGTAGAGAAAGAAAATAGTGAGCTTCTCAGCATCACTATTAGAGAAATGCTAATCAAAACTACAATGTGAGACTTCCGGGAGGATGGCGGAAGGGTAAGACGCGGAGATCACCTTCCTCCCCACAGATACACCAGAAAATACATCTACACGTGGAACAACTCCTACAGAACACCTACTGAACGCTGGCAGAAGACCTCAGACCTCCCAAAAGGCAAGAAACCCCCCACGTACTTGGGTAAGGAAAAAGAAAAAAGAATAAACAGAGGGGAAAGCTTGGGGGCTGCGGGGGAGAGCGCAGCCACAGGGTTGCGGAGGGAAAAGCGGGAAGACTACCGCACAGAGGATCGGTGCCGACCAGCACTCACCAGGCCGAGAGGCTTGTCTGCTCCCTGGCTGGGGCGGGCGGGGCTGGGAGCTGAGGCTCGGGCTTCGGTCGGAGCGCAGGGAGAGGACTGGGCGTGAACACAGCCTGCAGGGGGTTAGTGCGCCACGGCTGGCCGGGAGGGAGTCCGGGGAAAAGTCTGGAGCTGCCGAAGAGGCAAGAGACTTTTTCTTCCCTCTATGTTTCCTGGTGCGCGAGGAGAGGGGATTAAGAGCGCCGCTTAAAGGAGCTCCAGAGACGGGCGCGAGCCGCGGCTGAAAGCGCGGAACCCAGAGACGGGCGGGAGACGCTAAGGCTGCTGCTGCCGCCACCAAGAAGCCTGTGTGCGAGCACAGGTCACTGTCCACACCTCCCTTCCCGGGAGCCTGTGCAGCCCGCCACTGCCAGGGTCCCGGGATCCAGCGACAACTTACCCAGGAGAACGCACGGCGCGCCTCAAGCTGGTGCAACGTCACGCCGGCCGGCGCCTCACGCTGATGCAACGTCACGCCGCCTCTGCCGCCGCAGGCCCGCCCCGCACTCCGTACCCCTCCCTCCCCCGGCCTGAGTGAGCCAGAGCCCCCGAATCAGCGGCTCCTTTAACCCCGTCCTGTCTGAGCGAAGAACAGACGCCCTCCAGCGACCTACACGCAGAGGCGGGGCCAAATCCAAAGCTGAGCCCCGGGAGCTGTGCGAACAAAGAAGAGAAAGGGAAATCCCTCCCAGCAGCCTCAGGAGCAGCGGATTAAAGCTCCACAATCCACTTGATGTACCCTGCATCGGTGGAATACCTGAATAGACAATGAATCATCCCAAATTGAGGAGATGGACTTTGAGAACAAGATTTATGATTTTTTCCCCTTTTCCTCTTTTTGTGAGTGTGTATGTGTATGCTTCTGTGTGAGATTTTGTCTGTATAGCTTTGCTTCCACCATTTGTCCTATGGTTCTATTCGTCCGTTGTTTTTTTTTTTTTCTTATAATTTATCTTTTTTTATTTTATTTTACTTTATCTTCTTTCTTTCTCTTTTTCCTTCCTTCCTTCCCTCCTTCCTCCCTCCCTCCCTCCTTCCTTTCTTTCTACTTCTAATAATTCTTTCTTTCTACATTTTTCCCTTTTCTTCTGAGCCGTGTGGATGAAAGGCTCTTGGTGCTGCAGCCAGGAGTCAGTGCTGTGCCTCTGAGGTGAGAGAGCCAACTTCAGGACACTGTTCCACAAGAGACCTCCCAGCTCCACATATCAAATGGTGAAAATCTCCCAGAGATCTCCATCTCAACACCAAGACCCAGCTTCACTCAACGACCAGCAAGCTACAGTGCTGGACATCCTATGCCAAACAACTAGCAAGACAGGAACACAACCCCAACCATTAGCAGAGAGGCTGCCCCAAATCATAATAAGTCCACAGACACCCCAAAACACACCACCAGACGTGGACCTGCCCACCAGAAAGACAAGATCCAGCCTCATCCACCAGAGCACAGGCACTCGTCTCCTCCACCAGGAAGCCTACACAACCCACTGAACAAACCTTAGCCACTGCGGACAGACACCAAAAACAACGGGAACTACGAACGTGCAGCCTGCAAAAAGGAGACCCCAAACACAGTAAGATAAGCAAAATGAGAACACAGAGAAACACACAGCAGATGAAGGAGCAACATAAAAACCCACCAGACCTAACAAATGAAGAGGAAATAGGCAGTGTACCTGAAAAAGAATTCAGAATAATGATAGTAAAGATGATCCAAAATCTTGGAAATAGAATAGACAAAATGCAAGAAACATTTAACAAGGACCTAGAAGAACTAAAGATGAAACAAACAACAATGAACAACACAATAAGTGAAATTAAAAATACTCTAGATGGGATCAATAGCAGAATAACTGAGGCAAAAGAACGGATAAGTGACCTGGAAGATAAAAGAGTGGAAATAATTACTGCAGAGCAGAATAAAGAAAAAAGAATGAAAAGAACTGAGGACAGTCTCAGAGACCTCTGGGACAACATTAAATGCACCAACATTCGAAGTATAGGGGTTCCAGAAGAAGAAGAGAAAAAGAAAGGGACTGAGAACATATTTGAAGAGATTATAGTTGAAAACTTCCCTAATATGGGAAAGGAAATAGTTAATCAAGTCCAGGAAGCACAGAGAGTCCCATACAGGATAAATCCAAGGAGAAACACGCCAAGACACATATTAATCAAACTGTCAAAAATTAAATACAAAGAAAACATATTAAAAGCAGCAACGGAAAAACAACAAATAACATCCAAGGGAATCCCCATAAGGTTAACAGCTGATCTTTCAGCAGAAACTCTGCAAGCCAGAAGGGACTGTCAGGACATATTTAAAGTGATGAAGGAGAAAAACCTGCAACCAAGATTACTGTACCCAGCAAGGATCTCATTCAGGTTTAATGGAGAAATTAAAGCCGTTACTGACAAGCAAAAGCTGAGAGAGTTCAGCACCACAAAACCAGCTCTACAACAACTGCTAAAGGAACTTCTCTAGGCAAGAAACACAAGAGAAGGAAAAGACTTACAACAATTACAAATAATGAACCCACAACAATTAACAAAATGGGAATAGGAACATACATATCGATAATTACCTTAAATGTAAATGGACTAAATGCTCCCACCAAAAGACACAGATTGGCTGAATGGATACAGAAACAAGACCCATATATTTGCTGTCTACAAGAGACCCACTTCAGACCTAGAGACACATACAGACTGAAAGTAAGGAGATGGAAAAAGATATTTCATGCAAATGGAAACCAAAAGAAAGCTGGAGTAGCAATTCTCATATCAGACAAAATAGACTTTAAAATAAAGACCATTAGAAGAGACAAAGAAGGACACTACATAATGATCAAGGGATCGATCCATGAAGAAGATATAACAATTGTAAATATTTATGCACCCAACATAGGAGCACCTCAATACGTAAGGCAAATGCTAACAGCCATAAAAGGGGAAATCCACAGTAACACATTCATGGTAGGGGACTTTAACACCCCACTTTCACCAATGGACAGATCATCCAAAATGAAAATAAATAAGGAAACACAAGCTTTAAATGATACATTAAACAAGATGGACTTAATTGATATTTATAGGACATTCCATCCAAAAACAACAGAATACACATTTTTCTCTAGTGCTCATGGAACATTCTCCATGAAATTGTATCAAGTATCTTTTCCAACCACAACACTATGAGACTAGATATCAATTACAGGAAAAGATCTGTAAAAAATACAAACACATGGAGGCTAAACAATACACTACTTAATAACGAAGTGATCACTGAAGAAATCAAAGAGGAAATTAAAAAATACCTAAAAACAAATGACAATGGAGACACAACGACCCAAAATCTATGGGATGCAGCAAAAACAGTTCTAAGAGGGAAGTTTATAGCAATACAATCCTACCTTAAGAAACAGGTAAGAACAGGAAACATCTCGAATAAACAACCTAACCTTACACCTAAAGCAATTAGAGAAAGAAGAACAAAAAAACCCCAAAGTTAGCAGAAGGAAAGAAATCATAAAGATCAGATCAGAAATAAAGAAAAAGAAATGAAGGAAACGATAGCAAAGATCAATAAAACTAAAAGCTGGTTCTTTGAGAAGATAAACAAAATTGATAAACCATTAGCCAGACTCATC